GGAATATTCTAAATAAAGTGTACATATTTACCCAGTGTTGAGCACCTACTATTTGATAAATTTTCAAAACTTGTGTTGGTCTTATTTTATATCAATATAGCAATCCCAAGCCACGCAATTATTGTTCACCAAATATACATTTCCATACGCTCGTTTTGATTTGTTACGTTTGAAGAGAGCATTCAACCTGGGTTTTTTCGCAGCAGTTGATTGATAAATGTTATTCCTAAAATGTCGTTCAGAAAAACAAGGTTCCTAATCTTAGAATCACTTTCTCAACATCTGATAATAACACAGATGTGCTTAGACAAATTCTTGACTGAGTGGAATTATTTCCCTTGGATTGTCGGTTACCTTGAATTATTGGTTTTCGGGGAAGGGAGGGTTTGATTCTCCAAAATGTACAGGCCTAGGGTGGAGCAGACACTTTATTTAGAAATTAGAATTAAGGGTCTTGATATTGGGTTTTCTTCTGTTCTTATTCTGATCTGAAATTAGAAAAAATAACTCGCCCGATGGGCGAGAAGTATAGTATCTGTTATGTACTGATTGTGTTTAGTTTACTATGAACAATATTATCATTTAAGTTCTTATTTTTTGAATATGCAACTATCATTTTCTGCTTATAGACATGGGGAATTTCTCTTGAACAATCAGGTTTGGCAGACAGATAGTCATATTGTTTCTGTTTGAGATAACTAGTTTTGACTAAATCGGCAAGAATATTATTAATCATGTTAGCAGTTTCTTTGAAAATTGGTTTCGGTAAAATGGCATAATGTTTAGGATTATTCAGTTGATTCTCTGCTTCTGAAACGTAATCCTCCCTATTCAGAATGACACAACATGAACCTTTGTCAGTCTTTTTAATAACAATGCTATGGTCTTTCTTATTTAAGTTTAACGCTTCACGTTCCACTCGTGTGAGATTAGGCTTTTCGTGTGTTATGGAAAGGTTCACTGTTTGGCTATTCATACTCGCAAATGCTTTCAATATTTCAGGATGGATGGCGGCCTGAGGGGGTGTCCACGTGGATTTAGGAATAAACATTGTTCTAGCACCACGTGGGGGGTGATTTCGAAAAAGTTTCTTGAGAGGCACGACTTGTCCGCTCCCTTTTTTTCTTATAAAATATCATTATTTTAGGAAGTTCCATACAGTTCCATTGTGTACATGTTTATCTACAGAAATAGTTTTCTTTAAGAGACCTACAATGGTAGCACTCTGTGATACTCTAAGATCCAACAGATCACTGACAAATCGCTATCAATGACGATCACCTAATCATAAATGTTTTGACTTGCGATTTTTCATTCGAAAGTGCGCTATTGATTCCAACGATTAGTCGGATTTTCTGAGTAGCCGCCAGCAATTTGTTGTTGAAAATCCTTGTAGTGATTATATTTTAAAGATGAAGTCAAATTTGGATCAAATAATCCGTAGTCCCTTCTTTCGCAGGCCAAAAAGGGTGAATTATTTTCACATTGATAAGGTTACATGAATAATGCTTTAAGATCTCTCTTGATAATGGTATAATATTGGAGACACCTTGTGGATTAATCAACATGGGTAACGATCTGAAGCGTTCAATGAGGGACATTTTGACAGGACAGAAGCATTCGATTTCAATCTTTCGAGGGATCTTTTACGTGCACAGCCTGTAGTACATGGGACCACGGTGTTCATTCGTACGACTAGACGCTTTTTCAATGTTAGTCCTTCCGACCTGAATCACTGACAGGAGGAAACAGGGTTTAAAAGTCAGAAGGTGGAAGACAAAATGAGAATCGCGGTAGTCACAATTTAATTCTATAAACATCATCTCCGATTTCATTCAGACAATGTAATTATTCTATTTCCCGGAATATAACATCTTTAGTAATCATTATAATACTTGTTCTGGATCAATCAATACAGCTTTAAGGAGATTGTTACATCACTTTCTATAATCAGTCAATCAAGTATTTCAATTAAAGCCCTATTCTTACAGTTTATACTACAAATTACACGTAAGTATGGGCGTATATTCTAGTTGCCCCTGTCGGTCCGTCCGTTCACATTTACCTCGTGCTCACTCTACAGGCTACAATTTTCCATGGAATTTTTTGAGCTTTTAAATGTGTGCACTATTGAATTTGGTGATGATCCGATGATTTTCTTGAGAGATATTGCATAAAACTCTGATATCGCGTTAGTTTTTTTTCTCACTTTTTTGGCTCGTGCTCACTCTACAGCCTACAATTCTCCAAGGATTCTTTTGATTGTTTGTATGCGTGTCAATATCATTATGAAGATGTGCACTATTAAATTTGGTGAGGATCCGATGATTTTCTTGAGAGATATCGCATAAAAGTCTGATATCGCGTTCGTTTTTTTTTCTCACTTTTTTGGCTCGTGCTCACTGTACAGGCTACGATATAGAGTTTTACAGTTCACATTTAGCTCTTTATCAAGCTGCTGGTGGGCGTATTCGCTTGCGAGACTTGCCACAAGCCTATGTTTTTAAAGGGGGGATTTAGTCACGACTTTCGTAAGGGAAAACAATGGAATCAATTGCGTTCACAGTAACTCGAAGTCTGGTCAATAAGAAGGTATGAGAAACTGCTACAAGCTTACTATGGGCATTTCTGCTTCTTCGATAATATTTGAAAATGACCACTTCAATCCGTGGCCCGTGTACTTTAAATATTTGGCAGTAGAAAATCTAGAAAGACTAGGCTAATGTCACTCTCCTGTCAAATTCTGGTCGTAACCAATATGACAGTTTTGACCCAGTATTTTGTGATACAAGGAGACAAGGCGACAACCAAAACCTGTTCGATAACAGCTTTATTAAAATATATGACAGTAATCTCAGTACGGTATCTAGAATAAAAATCTTCAATTGACAGATTTCAATTATAAGAGTCTCGATTTAACATTGCTGCAGACGATTACAACAGTTTTAGAACACTACATCATTTATTTCACTCTGTCAAGGAATTTGTCCACCTTATTAACATTCTCCGTTGATCTTTCACGAGTGGCAACTGACATCTAACTGCTCGACGCTCATAGATCTAGATTTTTATGATCCCAGTGCAATCGCTCAAGCGTCCGAATACCGAATACAACAAAATTCGCGGTAGCCTACATTTTTCATAATTTCTCAGATAAGGTATGCATACTTTATCTTTTTTTTAAAAAAAAAAAAAAGAACTCACGAACTAATTTCCTTCACCAAAAACCAATTTTATGAAATACTGCTTAAGGCGTAACGCTGTGCAATTTTTCGAAAGCGTTAATTATCGCGATCGCACATTTACCGATATATTATTACCACTGAAGTGCCTCCATGGGATTTCTTTGGAGCTACCATAAACAATATGTCATCCAGAAGTGAGCATGTGATATATACATCGAATTCTATTGGTTGACCTTTAACTAGGCCACGACAATTTATTGGGAACACCCGCACAGTTGCTGACAAGGCACGTCAATACGTCTTTTAAAATAAACTTGCTGGGCTGTCGTAGTCCAACATCGCCGTCAAAACATTGTTAAGTGTGCTCCAGCCTTTAGGGTTCACATAAGAGAAGACATATAACGTTGGTTATAAACGTACACCATCAATTGTTTGATATCTCCCATATGTTTATTAACTCGATAAGACAAATGAATACAGATGGACTAGACCAATTCATTTAAGATTTTAGTAAAATAAAACTCCGTTTAATTAAATTGAATAACTATAATGACATATTTGCTGTCTGGGGCGGAAGAGATGTCGCAACCCGAACAAGGTCACTTGATCCCGATTCCTGATAATTAAAATTCCGATGAACTAATTCTAAAACTCATTGCTTTCATTTGAGTAGGTTTATTACCAGCAGGCAAGAATAACAGGCACAAGTAGAATAGTTAAAATAATTGACAATCACCTACAGATATGATCCATAACTTATATAGGCAATGCTACAAACAATTTTAGTCGTAGGCATGGAGTCATAAACGCCCAGCGAATCCTTGGTATTACAGATGATCGTCGACTGGTGCTACTTTCAGGTTAGCCATTTTCTGAAATATAAACGTAACTTTAAATTAGCTTGGTATTAGACATTAACGTTATTTAAAAAAAAAGATAAATCCATTTAAGACGTGGATGCCCGCAATCTTTTTCCGAAGGATAAAAAAAAAATTAGGGAAAAACACAAAATATAATTTTACAATTGTTTGGAGAAGTAACAAATCACAACCAACCTTGACCTGGAATTTAATGGCACAAATGACACCAATAACAATACCACTGGTAATCAGAGTTACTATGATAGGCAATAATATATTTGTTATTTCGGGACTAGCTAAAATAACAATTTCAACAATTTTAACAAATGACTGCAGCTACAACAGTTCCACAAATTACAAACGTAAGTCACTAGAGTGAGATGGCTTGAGGACTTACGTTGCCTTGTCTCATGCAAAACGGATCACTTAATGAGAATGTTTGGCATATGACGATAACAGCTCGAAAAAACTGTTACCTCTTAAGGCAGCCCATAAAGCTTACTGTTTATTTGGTATATCTATTACTAAGACTTACTTTTATTTTCTACTGCAGTACGGTGGATTGACTTTGTGGATATCTCATGTGAAAATATCAAGTGGGAATCCAATACTGTAGTTGGCTGAATTTGTTCATTTTTCATCTTCCCATATGAATCCATAATAGAATGAGTCTTTGGTACACAAGTTACATAGTGTGACGATTCTCCATCTTCGTCACGAGATACAGCAATATCGGTTTGATATTTACTTTGTATCACCGACATTTCAAACCAATTTTGTTCTGCAATTGACTTTTGTTCAAGGACCCATGGATCGGATACTTCAACATGGTCCGTAATGGTTGCAGATGTGCTTGAAATACTTGGAAATATAGACGAAGACAAGGAACCAAAAATCGTCTCGAATTCGTAATCAGAAGTCACAGAGGCCGACAATACAATGGTTGAACCTTCTATGGAAGGATCGTACATGGTACTTAAATATTCAATGTATGGAGATCCTGTAATGGGAGCTGAGGTGAACACATGTAATTCCATAAGAGTTGTTTCACTAACTTCTACAGTGTCCCATTGAAATTTTTCTTCCGATTTGTAATTTTGAAAACCGTCAATCACTTGCGAGAGATTTGTGGTGAAAACTTGATAGGAGGCATTGAACCCACCAAGTTCATCTGAAAATTTATGAATATAATTAGTACTTTCAAAACTTGATTAAATTAGACGGTATAACGGGGCATATTTTATATTTTGCATAAACCTCTTTATACAAGTCGAGGTGTGCATTACATACAAATACTTTATTTCTATATTGCTCCACATTTGATGTATTGAGCACTTTTTTTAACAGTGAGAATATTTTTGTTATTTTAACGCCTGTATTGTCATGTAAAACTGACGACGCATTAAACTCAATCTGGAGAACAAGTATTGAGCAATTTTAGAAAAATGGCGCTGCAGAACCACAAATCCAGATGTGTTCATTCTTTTTTGATTAATCGATGAATTTTTAACTTACCTGATGTGTCCGATGTGAATTGGATGAAAAGAAAATTTGATGTCGAGTTCAGCACTTCATTCGTATAAGACCCACAGTATTTTGCAAGTAAAAGAGAAGATTCATTCTTGCCGTCATAAATGTTCAATGAGTCATATAAACAGTTGGTTTCGTACTCAATCTGTAAGAGAACGTAGGGTATCACTATTATAAATGGACAACACCGAGTGATATGACTTTATTGTAAGACAGATTGAGGTAAAGTGGAATATGACATAAAATTCTTATTCTAATAAAAAGAAGGACCACTTCTGTAACTTTGGGAAAACGTTTTTGGATATCCATATAAAAAACGGTTCTTACTTCAAGATTTAGTACAGTAAGTTGAATAAGCGACTCATACGGAGGACTGATTATCCAAACACATTTAGTTAAGGATGGATAATTGCTTGGATAATTCGGAGAGGATATAAAACCACTGCTATCATTCAGACTTATTTTGCATGCTGGAACTGAAATACGAAAAGTAATAATGAAATCTTTAACGAATTAAATTTTGTGACGAGAATATTATGTCTAACCCGTTCTATTACATACGTATTGTCAAAGATTGTAAGACATTATCATTGATATCCATGCCAAGATTATTCTACCGAAGCTGGTACATTTAGGAGAATCCAACCCTTCCTTTCCCGAAATCTTAAATCTTATTTTCTCATTACATCTATGAGAGTATTGATACAAAGTATGGCAATAGTTTTAAGAAGTACTAAAACCACGAAAATCGCATAATCCCTTCAAATATACCTCAAACTAGAAGTTTCACTGCCTATTCCTATATAATATGTGTTTTCTATATATGACAGTCTCACTTTCAAACGTGAATAATTATGGATACACATGGATTTTAAAGGTTAAATTTCGACGATGAGCTGTGAACACTATTACTGATTATGTAAGCTAAAAAAAGTCCTGTTTTTAAAACTAAGGTATGATTGGTCGAAAAGTTAGTGAAGGTGCTCTTTAAGTTATACCTTGATCGAAGAACAGATGCATTCCAGCGGTCTGTATCTGATCATCTGAAATAAATCTAATGTAAAGGTATCTTCCTGTAGTTGTTATATTTGGTGGTGAAATGTTTCCACAATAAGACGCAATCCAAGGAGAATTTTCATTAGGACCATCCTTAAATTCTACTTTATCTCCAGTACAGTATGAGTCCAAAACAATCTGATATAAAATGAAATACTTGTTAATTGGACGAGCAAACAGCATTTCTCATAGAATTCCGTACCCACGTGGCCCTTGCCCGACAACTGAGCAAGCACCCGTCTTCCCATCTTCAAATAGACTTAAACATGACCTCTTTAAGTGTCATTCAGCACAACTGAAGGATAAAATGCTGGACGCTGATATTGGCTAAAACGTAAGAGATGAGTCACCAAAGAAGGGGATCGGTTGGACCTTCCAACTGTCAGAAACAGAGAGTAAGTTTTATGTTCCACGAATGCTTGCAACTGTAACAGTCACTACAAAATACTCTGAATCAGAGTGGATCCAATTTAAGCATAGCTCTCACTGTCTCCCGAATATTGCAACCTGGTGACAACTTACATCAAACGTTAGGAATATCAGTTGAACGTTGTGATCAGCAGCAGCTTCAATGATCCAAGTACACTCTGTTGTCGGAGGATAACTATCTGGATAATTTGGTGTTTGTATTGAACCAGGTACAGTCTGTATATATCCACCACAAGGTGTAGCGATTATTTCTCCTATCAAACGAAATTATATGATCACACAGAAATCACATATTGGTATTGACGCAAGTGGTGTTAAAAGGAAAAAACTCTTTGGGCAAATTCTATGAATCTTATTTGGGCTTTTAAATTGAATTCCTAACTCTACAAACGGCCTCGTGTACTATATAAGAGCGTTGTTGCTCCAACCAGTGAAACGTTTTTAAGTACCTTTATCATTATTTCTCCAATAAACGATTTAATTTTATTTGAATTACAATAACGGATTCGTTGTAAGAAAGGCAACATTTTTTGACGATCAAATCGAGATGATGATTGAAGCAAATCGGATTTAATTATTAGGAAAACAATTACCCATCAATAAGCCAATGAGAAATACTAACACAAATACTAACACTACCATCTCTTGAGTAGGATTATGTCAAACAAATTCATTGTTATCCTTTGACACTAAAAAAGAAATATAAACGTATTAACCGAATAATAACTAATTGGATTTGGATTTGCCGTTCACTAAATGGACAACAGCCTGAAAACAGGTTAAAGTGTGTCGTTGAAGACGATATAGCAATGATGGTATCTCTACAGTGGTTCGAAAAGTTGATTTCTCTTCCGCCAACTGCAGGTCTAACTAACGCGACAACAATACTTCGTTGCTTTGTTCACATAAGGACGTTTTGCACCTATTCTAAAAATGACTGATTTTCAATTGAAATGATGAATAATTTTTGTTACGTGGTAACATTTTAAACATGCGTAACAGTCTATGCCTCATTTATTCATACATACCGTTAATATCCAATATGAGCCTAACCTGCTTATATGTTTTCATCTGTTGTGTCACAGACAAGAATAAACCTCGAAAGGAACATTAAGGGTTATTTCGGAATGTATTGAAATACGAACAAGTTAAAGAGGCATTCCATTTTTTTTCGGAGGTCACAAAATTTGTTGGCTCATATCTATGAAAATTATACACCAAAACCAAGACATTTGTCCCTTAACGTATCTTAGAGATTTCAATAAAAAAATCCAGCCTTTATTTTTTACCGCAAAACTATTGAAAAGTTCAGGTAAACATTACGTAAACTTTTTAAGTTCGTTGTGTTTTTGTTGAGTGTTGAAAAAATACTGCACAGATTTAACGCCTTCATGTAGAGAAATATGTCTACTACTTATTCTGAAGGATTCAACTTAAAATATTAAAGCTTCATGTTAACAAACACCATACCAGTTTTAGCTTCTCGTGTAACAATTATTAACAATTGTACTTTCATTTTAATAAAACCCTTTAAAACAAATCAACTTGATCAAGTAGATACATAAATGTAAATAGCATGCTTTAGAAATATTTTCAGGTATAATTTACGTCGTCTTTGATAATGAAAATTTGGCACACTGCCCCTTTAAGGAAACGGAGTATAAAGACTATCATTAAGTTACTGGTATTTAGAGGTTATATATGATACTGTATAGTATTGTAATGTTATAATTATAAGATATAAATAACCGTTGATTATGTTGTGTTATCATTAACCTATTCAATAAATATCATAAATGTATAAGTTATGAACTTTTTTACTTAACCAATTCGTCATTTTAATGGAGTACTGGCTAGTAATTCCTATTTGGTGACTACTCACCTTTGCACCTAGACGTAATGGTTAACGTCAGCTTCCACTTAATGTACATCGCAGACTAGGTACCTGCTGGAAGTAGGATAAAGATCAATTGGGTGGTTCGACACTGTTGGTTTAGTAGTCGAAAACCTCAACGCACCTAATTTTTTCATTTTACTTCGATATGCCACATCAGGAATAACCCAGAGAAAATAACTCATGCTCGTCATAAAATAGGTCGATTTTATCAAACCCTTTAAATATATAACTGTTAAAATTTACTCTTGGTTTAGTAGTTGAGAACTTCAACGCACTTCGTTTTTTCGTTATTTCGTTGGGATTTTGCTTCGATATGCCACATCAAGAATAACCCAGAAAAAAATAACTCATGCTCGTCATAAAATAGTTCGATTTCATCAAACCCTTTAAATATAGAGCTATTAAAATGGACTTTTCATATATTTGAAACAAGTATACCACATGACTCAAACTGTATTTAATCCAGAAATGATTCCAATCAAAGTTTTGGTAACTGGATTTTTAATAAGGATATTATCATTATTTTATTATTCGGCTATATTCCTATTATAACCGTTTTCGCTTTAAGTAGCTGATTACTGATAAAGTTTCAAAGCTGTCATTCTAGTCGTCGATAAACTAGATTGTTTTGTTGCTGGTTTTTCTGATGTATTGATAATAACCGTATTCATATTAAAAACTCTTAATATCCTTTTAGATCAATAGACATTATTCCGACTATAATTCTAACCAATACAATATCTGTTTCAACATTAAATAAAGATTGTTCATAATTCCATATTGGTTTACATGAATGGAGAAAAACAGTCCTGGAGCGTCACGAAACACGAGCTGCTTAAAATTTTGATCTACCTCACGATGGCTTTCAAATTAATTCTTTGAATATCACAGAGATATGTCGATGTCGCTTAACTATTTTTCTCAGAAGATAAAGATTTCAACTACCCTTAATAGCAAAGATCTTGCGTCTAGTTCGTTTGCACAAGAAATTCAGACCGGTTACAAAAGGGTTGGTAAAGTATCAGTGCCTTTGTGTCTAGAAAATCTTCGGTATTGAGACCAGAACCATTTAAAGAGCTAGATAACATGGTCGGTATTGTGATCAGAAGGATTTAAACTCCAGATATCAATATTGTGATCAGAAGGATTTAAACTCTAGGTATCAATATACGGCATCGTGATTAGAAGAAGTTGAACTCAAGATATCAATATACGGCATTGTGATCAGAAGGAGTTGAACTCAAGATATCAATATACGGCATTGTGATCAGAAGGATTTAAACTCTAGGTATCAATATACGGCATCGTGATCAGAAGGAGTTGAACTGAAGATATCAATATACGGCATCGTGATCAGAAGGATTTAAACTCTAGGTATCAATATACGGCATTGTGATCAGAAGGAGTTGAACTCAAGATATCAATATACGGCATTGTGATCAGAAGGAGTTGAACTCTAGATATCAATATACGGCATTGTGATCAGAAGGAGTTGAACTCAAGATATCAATATACGGCATTGTGATCAGAAGGAGTTGAACTCTAGATATCAATATACGGCATTGTGATCAGAAGGAGTTGAACTCTAGATATCAATATACGGCATTGTGATCAGAAGGAGTTGAACTCTGAAATTCTTGACCAGCAACAGTCGAAGCTCTTGATAACATCCTCGGTTCTGTGACGTGACACTCTTCTAGAGCATTCTTTGGTAAATTTTATCGGAAAGAGTGAAGGTTCGGTATTGTAACCAGGAGCAAATGGTCATGATATCAATCTTCGGTATTGTGACCAGAAAGAGTTGAAGCTCAGATGACAACTTCGACTTTGTAACGAGAAATAGTTATTGATAGCGTCGGGCACAATTAATTTAATAGATTAATGTTTTCAATTTACTACGTCTTATTCTTGTTATTCTTTCTTAATTTCGGACGATTGTAGAATACATTGTTCCTTGCTTTCTGAACCTTTTCATTTGAGCCTTGAATAAAGTGAAACAGTCTTATAGTATTTCAGAGCGTTATTTCTCTAAAAAATAAAATAATAAAAACAAAGCTGATTAAAATAAGAACCACGGTTTGTCAAGAAGATTTTTGTATTCCCCAAGGTGTTGAAAACCTGATTAAAATTGACGATTGAATACATCTAACGTATTTTAGAAAAATATAATGCGGATTCTTTTACGCTGTTTGGTTAGAATAAATCAACTATGTAGCATTCTATTTGCTTCAAATCTCAGCCAGATAATATGTTAAATGTACCGGAGTGGACAAGATATTGTAGAGTCAGTCATCTACAAATAATAGAATAAATAGATCCTGTGTGGTGTATGGACAAATGGAAATGGAAAGGTTTTTAAATGATAAAGTCGAAATTAAGTCATAAAGCCTTTTTTCTGCTCGGGACTTGAAAATTAAAACAGGCAACGCCATGCACTGTGCAAGGAGAGAAATATGACAATTGCTTACTTTTTCTGTTTCTAATAGATGATGTTTAACGTGTATAGTTTAAAGTACTCAGGGGCTCATTTAATTGAGAAATCTTAACTACCAATCATATGGGTTCTTTTTCAAATTACGGCTTAACCACATCGTCTTTTGCAGTCAATTAAATTGTGGGAGTGTTTTCGGGCTTTTGAGCACTTCTACGACTCTTTACCACAGTAATATTAGTTAGTTGGTGGCCAATTTGGCCATATTCGTTTTCATGTAACATCTATTTTAACATAAGTAAATTACACTCTTTATACGAGTAAGCTTCATTAGGCTTTAAAAATATTGATACAGACCGTATTTATTTCATTATTTTATTTTCAGCATTCAGCTAATCGAGATTTTCATTGTAAAGTACAATAGTATAAGATTACAGATCTCTTCATTCCGCTTAAAGCAAACATTTTCAGATGATCATCGTTTGATGTAATTTGACTCTAACTACGTGATTTGTGGACTTACTACATTTCACTTTTTTTATATTGCCAAACCTCATGTCCTACAAGTTGATCACTTAAATAAGACTATTATATTCTCCCTTCTTAATGAGAATCATTACTGGCGTCAATAGCAAGGCGAAGATGAACAAAAGAAAAGGGGGTTTTGAAGTTTGTACCTTGTACCACAATGCCTTTATATTGAATTATATCTTTACAACCAGGTTTGCCCGAAATTTGCAGAATAGAAAATGCTCAATTGTGCTACAGTTGAAGTCCGAAAGTTTGTAAAAGAGGTCGGCTTCATTGCAGGTCTTAATTACGAATATCGATGTAGAAATTGTAATTAGGGCATAAAAGAAATTAACAAGCCGAAAACAGTAGCAATTGGTTAAAATTACTGCAGCT